ACGTAACTAACAACAACACACACACACACACACACACACACACACACACACACACACACACACACACACACACATATATATATATATATATACGTATGTGTTTGCATGAACGAGTATTTTCTGTTCAGGTGGTTGGTATCAGAGACTGGTCAGCTGGACACTGCGTGAGTAAATTGACAAACAGCCAATGAATAATTAGCTCGATGATAGTTCAGGATTCGTGTTTGTGGGTGTTAAACATATTTGTATGCAGAGTTGCACCAATGAATATAAGCTGGACACTAAAGGCGTGTCTCAAAAGATAGACGGCAGCTGATTGCTAAGAGATAGCCCGTCACATACACGAAAAGTGCATGAATACATCTATAGTTATGCAGAAGTGCACATATTGCTAACAGTTGGACACTGCAAGAGTATCATATGTAGTCAGCAGGTGGTTATTTTACTTAGGGACAGTCCGTGATAACTGATTGTAAGCACATATGTTTGTTGTGGTGCATGCTTACAATGACATTTTATGTGCTTAAGATTGGGTATGGTACGGGGCGGTACTCATATGCGGACACGTGACTATACAGTACCAAGAACTGCCTGCGCTTCCTACCTACCTTTCAGTAAATAGAGCGTAGAAGTACCTGCTCATATGGTGCTTGTGTATCGCAACTGCCAGTGATTGCCACTGGGTTGGTGTCCGCTGAGGGCTTTTAGGCGCGTGCATAGTGCGAGTGTGTTGGGTGTAAGGTGTGGGACGATAAGATGGCAAATGTCTGCGTGTTTAAGTGTGAACGCTGCCGCAGCGCCACCAACTAGCAGGTTCTGCGCTGGAAACTGACAAGTGTAGCTATCCTGCTATTGCTTCGGGTGTGTGACTGTGTGTGCTATAACGGTGTACATACCTACTAGTACGCCACCAGACTGAGTTCTCCAAACACTACAGGCAGCGGAATGAGTGTCATAGTACAGCCAGTACGGTGGGAACGGATAGCATGGCATACCAACACACAATTGTACTACCCCAGTTTGCCACCCACAGATGCCCTGTGTTTATTTGGACTCAGTCTCAGTATATGTACTTGTACGCACCCTTCTCATGGACTATGACCACCCCTACGCCACACAGGTACTGAGGCGGACGTATACCGAAAGCACAACGGGGTTTACCTGCCGAGGCCACATCGGCGGGGCGGGTGTGTGGGATGGGTCAGTCACCACCACCACACGCACACACAATGAACCTCAGAATGATCAAAAACGCACATATAATGAACCTCAAAATGATCAAACACGCACACACAGTCAACCTCAGAATGATCAAACACGCACACACAGTCAACCTCAGAATGATCAGGCGCTGGACTTAAACGACCGAACTTTCAAGTCAAGCGACAGGAACCTGGACCCGTATCAACGTAGGTGGAGTGTGTAGGGTGGATATGGGATTTTTTGGGAGTGTTTGTTTAGATGTTTTAGCAGAAATTGTTTTCATACTTAAGCTGGACCCGTATCAACGTAAGTGGAGTGTGTAGGGTGGATGCGGGCTCTATTGGTAGTGATTGTTTAGGAATTTTAGCAGAAATTGATATCCTACAAACCGTCACGTATGACATAATACATGGTGGCTGTCTATACGTGGTAAGTACAATAAAGAGTTACGTAGTGCTGCGTGGTTAGAACCCCGTATAACTAGGCCGTGTTCGCTTCATAGGACCAGTCGTCGTTTATCTCACACTGTGTGATACTGTTCCCCCAGGTGTACTGTTGCGCATGTCGATGGGTTTGTGTATAGCGCAGTATCCTATGCCTGCCCATAGTGACTAGGCCCATCCGCAACGTTGGCTTAAAATGGAGCATGGACTGTGCGATCTATAGTCTTTCTGCGAAAGCGTGGTGTGGCTAGTAGAATGCTGAGTGCGTATGTATATGTTCATAAGTTAGGTGTGTCCGTGTGTACACATATCTGCAGTCATATTGAGCTTAACCACAACCAGCCCTAGCTTCGGCCTGCATATGTATATGAAAGCGTACGGCGTGTGTTCATACGTATAGGGATCAGATTGTGTCATTCATATGTAGTGGCATGCCTGTGGGTTGGCCCCCCCCGTTTCTACGCACACGTACTCAGGTGTAGCCCAACACTCGATGCTGTTGCGTTGTTGCATGGGTCTGTTCGATTCGCCATTGCCCCGTGTTGCTGTTCATGTACATCGCAGTAAACGTAGTACGAATACCAAGCTGCTCTGAGTTCCTCTTAGAAAGCACTGTACACATTAAAACAATATTTTGTTCAGGCCGGCAACCGTTAGGGTATGCTCCGCCGCGTTCAACGTATTAGAAGTTTGTTCTGAGAGTCGGGTCGTGCGTAAGATTCACGCTGCCTGTTTTAGTCCACAGATCGAAATCACGTCACACCACCCTAAATTGCTGCACCTCGGAAACTAAAATAGGACTTAAAAAAATATTGCTTCGCACTTGTGTCCCAATTCTCGGCAGATTGCGAGTCAAAATTGGGCCGCTCGTTGGACTACGCCTCACCGAACCCAGTGACATGCAGCTACGAAGCAGTGGTGTCACACGATGCCATGCGTCGGAGAAAGTATGTCTGGGGCATGTGAAGTGGGGTTGCTCCCATTGATGGGC